GAAGGCCGATCACTTTAAAGTAACAGTACTCTAATGGTAATGGTCACCAGTACTAATGGTCACCCGAACACTGGCCAGATGAAGAGGATGTAGTAGTGCTAGTCACAGGACCACTAGTTGAAATTGTAGTAGCGCTAGTCACAGGACCACTAGTTGAAACCGTAGTAGTGACCTGTGAACCGAGCAATCTGCCCAGTAGCCTTTTCGGTAACATATAGAATATTCGAGTGTTGATCAAAGGTGACTCCAGTATACTACGCCTGAGCTATTATACGATAAGCATTGTTATTCTTCGGGTAAAAAACACCAACGTCACTCTCGCTGATGCCAAACACGAACATATCGTTGCCCGAAGCCTCGATATTAGAAATAGTCTTCTCGGCAACAGGTAGCCATTGGTTGCATTGGAGTCTCCAAAGCATACGGATACCATCATCACTAGAGTAACCAGCTAGGTACCATGCACCATAGTCAGTGAAACTGAAGGACTCGGTAGTTATTTGGCCCGCCGGGAGGAGGTTAGGGAACGTCGTCCTATCAGCAACGCAGAAGTCACCCGAACACTGGCCAGATGAAGAGGATGTAGTAGTGCTAGTGACAGGACCACTAGTTGAGACAGTAGTAGTGCTAGTCACAGGACCACTAGTTGAAACAGTAGTAGTGCTAGTCACAGGACCACTAGTTAAAACAATAGTAGTGCTAGTCACAGGACCACTAGTTGAAACAATAGTAGTGCTAGTCACAGGACCACTAGTTGAAACAGTATAGTGCTAGTCACAGGACCACTAGTTGGAACCGTAGTAGTGCTAGTCACAGGACCACTAGTTGAAACAGTAGTAGTGCTAGTCACAGGACCACTAGTTGAGGCAACAGTAGTAGTGCTAGTCACAGGACCACTAGTTGAGGCAACAGTAGTAGTGCTAGTCACAGGACCACTAGTTGAGACAGTAGCAGTGCTAGTCGCAGGACCGTTAGTTGAAACCGTAGTAGTGCTAGTCACAGGACCACTAGTTGAGGCAACAGTAGTAGTGCTAGTCACAGGACCACTAGTTGAGGCAACAGTAGTAGTGCTAGTCACAGGACCACTAGTTGAGGCAGTACTAGTGCTAGTCACAGGACCACTAGTTGAGACAGTAGCAGTGCTAGTCGCAGGACCGTTAGTTGAAACCGTAGTAGTGCTAGTCACAGGACCACTAGTTGAGGCAACAGTAGTAGTGCTAGTCACAGGACCACTAGTTGAGGCAACAGTAGTAGTGCTAGTCACAGGACCACTAGTTGAGGTAGTAGTAGTGCTAGTCACAGGACCATCAGTTGAGGCAGTAGTAGTGCTAGTCACAGGACCACTAGTTGAGACAGTAGTAGTGCTAGTCACAGGACCACTAGTTGAGGCAACAGTAGTAGTGCAGT